ATTTTGTTTTTTTCCAAAATGTACCTATTCAAATAAGTATTTCACTACTGTATTTGACATTCAGAAATCACCCTTACTATCAAAACATTGGAAGAAACAGATAAAACAGTCCAGGAAAACTATTCCAAATATGATCCTAAAGCAGAATTTCTCTTGAGCAGAGCCTGTAGAATTTTTGTGATTTGCAAATAGCTTTACATGAAGATTTTTAAAATGCAAGCAGAAGATAGACTATCTTCCATACCACTCAGAATTGGAAGGCTATTTCTACATTTTGTAGCAAATTTCGGAGACAACTGCATTCTGCCATAGCTGGATTTCCGGGACGCAATTTCACATAGTAAACCATGTCAATTTAATAACCTGCTTCTTACTGCCAAAATTTCTGTTTATCCTCTATTTCCCACTCCGTCCAGTCCCAACTATGCACTCCTTCCAGTCTCCTTATGCATCATTCTGACTAGCACCTGAGTTCACTAATCTGGCAAAAAATTAACACAAAAAAAAAAAAAAAAAAAAAAAAAAAAAATTAGCAAAAGGGATTGCTTATGGAAATACCTGATGATCACCAGGGACAAAGCAAATAAAGTGTCAGGACCATGTAGCTAAGCTAAAGGTGGGGGCAGAGCAACACTTACACTTCCATGTACTAGTGAGTCAGAATATTGTTTGCTTAGATATAAAACGGCTATTATATTGTCTGATAACATTGGACTACATCAAGCTGTTGTGTCTATTAGAAAGGCCTTGCATGTGTTGTGGATGGCTATTTTGCACAAGCAACAAACAGAGAAAATGTGGATTTGCATGTCCCATAACCTGCATCCATGACAACATGAAACCCACACGTCTAAAGAATATGTATTAATGACAATACACAGGACTAAAACATTTCCCAAACCATATTACTAATTTAAGCCTATCTGATGATGGATAAGCTTTCAGTGGTGTGGAGGACATTCTGGACCCAGTAAGTTGTTTTCTTTGCATTGGATTTAATACAAAATTTCTCTCATTTCTTAATAAGCAAAGATTGTAATAGCTATAGAAGAGTCTTTTTCAGAATTTTTTACTGCAGCTGACCACCAAATAATCAGCAGCTCAATGCAAAGATATATATATATATATATATATATATGTATATATATATATGCTCTATTCTTTACATTTGAAATAGGTGACTGTACTGGCTAAGCACATCTTTGATGTGATGGAAGAAGCCCAAAGGAAAGGACTCAGTGACTCCAGAAAGTGCCAATAATGAATTTTAAGAAGTATTTGTAAGCTGAATAAATGACAACATAAAAATAAGCATCCTGAAGTCTGAGATCAACACTCCACTTCTTCAGATCTGATACTGGAATCATCATTGCAAACAACACTGATTTTAATCTATGTATTCAGATCAAGAATGCAACAACCCCCTAGACTCCTCCTTTTCCTCTTGCAGAAGAGACTTAAGTTTGACTAAGTCTCTTAATTTCTTGCCCCCTTGTATGGTGATACAGAACCTTCTCTGATAGTAACCCGGGACTACACATTTTGTTTTATTGTGTGTAAGGTCAGAAGGTTCTCTAGAAGGAAGATATGGAGATGATAAGAAGAGGAATTCAATTTCATAGCCTCTCTTCATCTGAATGTGCTTGCCTGAAGCAAGGATAGTCCAGGTAGAGAGGTATCATTCAATGATCTGAGCAATGTTCAAAATTATGGGAGCTGAGAACAGGTTTCAAATAGGAAAAAAGTCCTCAGAGGGGAGATAAAATTTGCTGTGTTTAGGACAAACGAAAAGAATGACCAGATGGCATAGCAATTGTTTCAAGAGTTTTTGTCCCTTTATTTAAGTATTTTGTTATCTTGTGTTGGTAATAGGAAGATACTTTAATCGGTGATTTGCAGCACACTCTCATTCTGTGGGCTGGAACATAGCTGTCCCTATGAGGATCCAGTACCCAGCAGTCATCAGTGTAGGTAAAACCTACATTGTTGTTTGAAGTTCCTTGAGAATCCCACAGAGACTGCTGGAATCAGCAGACCATAGCAACAGCAATTCCCATTGCTATAGAAGCTACAGCAGTTGCATCTAAAGCAGTCTGAAAAGAAATCTAGGTGAAGACAAATTGACTGTCATAACAAAATGAACTTTCATTTATTTCTGCACTCTAACGGCAACTTATGAATAATATACTCTCTTTCAGGCCAATTTAGCATAGCCAATTCCAGTACTGCTGCTGGATCATTTGAAATGATCACCTGAAGGCGTGATGTTAAACATTAATTCACAACACAGAGGTACACACTTCATTTTCTTTGGAAACAGCTTGTCTTTTGAGACCGGTTAACTTGTGACCAATAGAAACACCAATACTTTGTGAATCTTTCAGAAAGACAGGGAAGCAACAATACCATTATGTGACTTACACCGGTCACAGGAAAACTTGTTCTACATCATCACACGAATACTAAACGTAAATTTGGTCTTGCTATGCCTCTGTGTTGCCCAACGCAGGCCCTTTGGTGCCACCAATAAATAAACAAATAAATAATTGGGTGCATTTCTCTGGTGGTAGTCAAGCAGTCTGTCCTTTCACTCTATCCACAATACTGTTTAGAAGCACCAGCCAAACACAGCATGTGTGGAATGACATGTGTTACCTAACACATACCTGGCAGAATGGAATTGTATGGCTCTGTTAAAAAGTACTGTGGAAGACTCAGAGACATTACAATCTATACTTTTTTTTCATTTTGCTTAAAAAAAATTCCATTATGAATTGTATTTTCAGATGTAATACTAAATCTATTATATCTTGACTTGAATTACAAATTAATGCAGCAAGATTGGCTTAAATGAATGGTGTTCCGTGTGTAATGGTCCCAGGCCCTGTTTCACTGATTACCGTTCAGCCCTGTGTACAAATGCAAAGCTATTAGTCCACAACTAGGTTTTTCAATGTAATATATTCTGTGAACCTTTGAGAGCCAAGTGGAGAAGCCTTAGTTAAAATGAATAAATAATTATTTTTATGGCACCCCCTGTCTTCAGAGCACAGTTTCCATTCAGTGCTCAATTAAGCAAACCAGATTCTGTGTGCCTAGCTGAGAAGCATTTATGTTATGAGATGACATCTTTTTTTAAAAAAAAAAAATCATATTCCCCAGCAATCTTGATGCTCTTGTTTGATTCAGATACTAGAACTGGTAGAAAAAATTCTATGAAAGAGGTAGGAGTTTGGTAGCAAAACTGGAGAACAGATATTAAAGGGAAGGGTGCTTTGAAAAACATTCTGCTCTCTTCTTCCTCTCATCCTTTATAATCCATTTCCATAGAATATATAGAGAGAATTTTATATAAGGTTAGGGATATAGCTAATTTTCCACTGCATGTTCCATTCCTGTGGCAGGGAACATGCAGGTTTAAATTAATTCTACAGGAACCTGTATTACTTCAGGCTCTGTACCTGCATTTTGCTCGAAGGAGGGATTTATAAAGGTATAGGATGCCTAGCCAGTAACAGCACTGCTTCCACAAAAGCCAGGTTGCTGAGATCAAAAGAAGAGGTGGGCTCAAGAATCAATCTTCTGCAAGGTCATCTTCCTACATCTACATTACCCATGAAATTCCCAATACCCCCTCATAGAATATATCAGTGAAGCTTCCAGAGACAAAGCTCCAGGTTTTTAACCTTGCATAGCTCCCAAAAGAAGAAAGCATGACTAGACTTGCACTTTCCCAGAAGTGCACAAATTCAGGGGGATTTTCCTCTTTGTAATTGAAAAGAATATATTTAATCTACTTCATGCAGGTAAATTTTAAGAACTATCAAAGGAAAGCTTATTGCCATAACTTGAGGTTGAGTGTTGTGAGTAGTTCTGGATCAGATAGAAAATAAGGCTTATGAAAATGCAACTGTTCATAACAAGAGCATTCAAAAAAGGAGGAAACAAAGCTCTATTCATGTTACGTGAAGAACAGACTGGTTCTCCAGGAGGAGATTTTTCTTTACTTTGTCACCTGCCTTTGGGTTCATTAGCTTTATAGTTACCTTGGGAATACGGTAGCAAAAGAACCAGAAAATACTAGATTGGTATTTCATACAGCATTGTTCCCTACTTCAAACCCAGAATTTATTTATCTACAAAAATGTTGTAAAAAAATGTTGGTTTATTACTTCTATATCCTGTAATTTTTAAACCTTCCTGTAATACTTTCTTTTTTTCCATACTTTATATGTATTTTCAACAAATTGAAATATATTTGAACCATGACAAACTATCAAAATTATGCAGGGAAACATTTTGAAATACATCACATTTAAATATTATCTTCACATTTAAATATTATCCTTTTTTTTGTCAAAGTTTTCAAGTTTTCCTTACATTTATATTCGATTTATTCTGTGTAGACTTCTAACTTAAAATTCCTACTGTATAAAAAAATAAAATAAAGTGCTAGCACTGATGTACCTTTATAATTAAGAGAAACAGTCACTTTTGGAGTGTTTCACCTTCTGCTCCAGGAAGAGATGAATTTTGACCTAAAATCACTTATTTCCCACCATTGGAAGAGTCTAAACAATATCTCATATCTAGATATCTACAGTGAAGATGTCTACAGATGGCTAGCTGCATTGCAGCAATGAATTTATTTATTGCTAGCACAACATTCACAACTTGCTCATTACCACTTTGCAGTCTATCTTTATATACTAAAAAGTATATTTCATGCTGAAAAACAAAAATTAATTCTGCTTTATATTAACCAATGTATGCCAAAACCTTATGCCAAGAACATAACCAAATCATTTATTTTGGACGCTATAAGGACCTAATGGTAATTCCTCAACAGCACATCCTTTTCCAGTCCATTTAGTAAAGCAAAATAAAGTAGAACATAACAACATAAACTGTAACCTTACCTGAGTACTTGTAGATGATGATTCACATCACTGTATTACAAATACATAGAAATGGTGTAAATTCTGAATGAGAAAGGATACATTCGTATGGCTCCTGTTCTTGTTCCAATTGCCAGAATTTTCTGAACTGGGTCAAAAGCTAAGGCAGTGGGTAGATAAGGAAAACCATGGCGAACCGTCTGAAACAGAACAAATGAGCAAAGTGATCGAACTGTAACCACAGATAACAGCCATGTATATATTATGTTATGCGTATAGGAAGAGAAGCTGTATTTTGCTAATGTAGTATTCGCAATATATTTCAAGAAAAGTATTTTAAAAGATACAGTATTTTGAATACAGAGGTGAATTTAACTTATGTCAGTTTCTAGGTTTGCTCTTTACTCAGTGATATTTTTAATTATTTTGTTGTAACAAAGTGGATTGCAAAGTATGTGCCAATATACAACTAGTATATATTGCTTATATGGTATACCAAAAGATAACCTCAATATGCAAAGCAGCTGAACTGCAAATTGAAAAAATAATATGCTCTTAAAGCACTGTCACAAATAACCTCGGCCTCAACAGAACAGCTTCAGCAGAAAGAAATGGAACATATCCAGTGGAAGAGGTCCAATAAACCAATAAACTGAATTGAGTCTATGAGGCAAAAATCCTTAATGTCAATTTAAAAAACAAAGATGCCAGAGAAGAGGTTCTCAAAATGAGCAGCTGAACCACTCACTCTTTCTTAATCTTTATTTAGAATTCTATGCTTTTAATTCTAATTTTTGCAGAGATACCTTGGGGAATAAATGAATAGAGCATGATGCAATGCATCCTTGAGTTTGAAGACTGCCTCAAAATATTTTAAGTTATCTTAACCTGGAGGTTATGACCAATATGACCTGCCTGATTTTTAAGAAGAATCTGATGAGGGAGAATGCTAATATAAGAAAAAAAATGAAAATAACTAGACTAGACTATACAAATACACATAAAAATGAACTGCAATTAGTTTCATGTGTGTGACTCCTTACCTAAAATTTAGTAACGAATAATATATTTTTTAGTATAATAATAATAACGTTTCATAATATTTAATATAATATTGAACTCTACAATTGACTCTTTTTAAAGAATATGATTGGGATTGGAGAGGAAGTATTCTGAAGTGAATGAGATTTAAATTTTTAAGATATTTATTTCTTCCTTGAAACTATCTTCTTCGTGAACTGTGTCTGCTGAAGTATTCAGCAGTCTCTGTGGAACAACTTCAACAAAAGGAATTCCTTAACGGCAGACCTGTTGAGTAAAAGCAGCTGATGATTTCTACAGCTGTGTCACTCCAACTCTTCCATTACAGCTGGAAACACTTGAAATGATATTCACAAGCAGTTTGGGAACAACCAAATGTATGTTTTTCAGCAAATAACCACTTCCTTAACAGAAATCTTACTCATCTCATATCTTAATTATTGCTGATAAGGGATATCTTTTAAAAGAATGTCTAATTATTAGTTTCTAGACTGCAAAATTCCAGAAACATGCTACTTCAGTAAGCTGTAGAAAAGTAACTCATTTTTTTTGTCAGTGTAGGCATTGATCAAAGATCTTCACAATGCTGCTTCTGGCTTGGTTTGGTGTGCGTTGTTTTTTTTAACCTCATCTCCTCAAAAAATAAGATGACTCGATTTTTTTTTTTTTTTAAATTCTGACAAAGCTGGAACTAGACTTACATATTATAAAAATGTTTTTACCTCATGTCACAAAAACATCAGGAATTATGAACTGTAGTATTTTCTAGTGTGTTGAATGTTTGGCCTAACTGGATTACTAATTGTCTATTCTATTTGAGATTTCGTATTCTTGTGAATAAATGTTCTTCCTTATCTGAAAAAAAACCCACATTTCACAAATGATCTTTTTTTACTCTCATTTTTAGAAACCCTTCTGTAATAAAGTTTGAATTTTTAGCAATTCCAGTCACAGTAAGCTTTTCTGATGTTTAGTTATGACTGGAGATTTCAATACTATTTTTTAGATCTAACAATGCGAAGATCAATATTTTAAAAGAGGTATTTGCATTCCTGACTATGTATATATATTCCTACATCTGCTTTGTATTTTCAGTATTTCTGCTATCTACAGTCAGACTTTTCATTTGGAAATTTTAACTGGGTCCTGTTTTTGAGACAGAACTATGTTTTGGAAGCACAGCAATGTACAACTTTTCAGGATCATAATTCAGTAAAAATTCTTGAACTCTATGATTGACTTAAAAGTCTTATTTCTGTTTTGCAGCCATTTTCCAAATTTGAGTATTTACACTAATTCCAGTTGGGAAGTTCTTGTGAATGCAGAATTCTGCTATTTGTAGAATAAAAATAATATTATTGAAGTCTATTGAACATCCAAGTAAATGACCATTTTCAAGTAAAATATTTATATTTACTAGGACTCTAAATAAAGGATGAATCCAGCTTGGAAGGAGAGCCAAACTATACTGCACACAGTTAAAGCAGAAGATGTCTTTATGATTGAGATTTTGGCACAAATTAAAGCAGCTGCAGAAGTGATTCTAAAGATCAAGTCTATTCAACAGAACAGGGACATGTGGTAACACTTCAGACCCCCATCCTTGGTCCAACAACCCTTCTGTTTCCAAGGACTGTGAGAAAAATTGGCATGAAAAGCTAGCACTTGAAGTAGATTTTTCATTTACGCATTGATAAAGCTAGTGTGAGCATGCGTGTAAGAATGAGTAATGATTCTAGAACTGTGGCTGGGCTTCTTTACAGCATTTACTAATACAGATGAAGAGAGGAAGGTCACAAAATTAACTTGATCCAAAAGTGACAAAAAAAAAAAAAAAGTATGTTCCTACTTAACTGAGCTCTGTCTAATATCAACAATATAGACCAGAACTATCAGTGGTGAGCAGAATACACAAATCAAAGTAGATCTTTTTTCCAAAAATAAAGCATTTCATTAACAGGCAAAAGTAGAAAAAAAAGTATCCTGAAACATCAGTCTGTGTTCAAGGAAATATAGGACCTACCTACCATGAATGCCCTAATAAAGCAGATGAAAAAAACCTCAAAACACCCCAACCAAATAAGGGAGAGAAAAAGCAGACAGCAGATAGAGCCAGGACTGCTTCTCTCCACATAATCCAGCTTTCTTTTATGTCTCATTTTTTGGCATACTGTCTCTAGAGGCAGTCTCTGCTCCCTAGGACATACAGTTTATGTGCAATATGTAAAATAATTCATTTGAAACAGAACAATTACAAATGCAGCTACAATTTCAGCATACATCTTTGTTCTGGTTTGTTATTCACTTTTAAATAATTTTAAGCAACTCTTCTTATGGTGAATCGCATATATATCTCATTAAAATAATCTTTACACAACAAATTTACCTAAATGAATGTAGGAAACTGATTATTTGGGCTTTCTAGTGTTCTACCAATGCTGTATGAAACATAACAACAATCTCTGTCTAAACTACTATGATATATTTCATTAGCTGAAAAAATAAATTTTTTTTAGTAATTTAACCTAGTAATATTATGCCCTAGTAATATTATGCAATACCCAGTATAATTGTTCACATGCAGTATAATGCAGTTTTTTTAATGTAATAGTTTTTCTTAACTTTTGTTTTACGGTAGTTTGTATTAGACTGCAAAGGAACCATTTTTTTCAAAGTGATTTTTATACACTCTAAAGAGTTCCAGAAAATACAGGATTAAACTCAATTTTAAACTGTATCAATTAAGTAATAAGGTTTATAGCCAAAATTGTTCCTGCTAATTTGCATAAACTTAAAATTTGTAACTTTTCTGCTAATATTTTACAGATACCCTGTTTCGTGTAACACCTGACAGCAAAACTGATTTAATTAGGTAAATAATTTTTGAGAAGATGTCTATTTGTCACAGCTGAACTATGTAGTCTAAGCCTGTGACTCAGGATGTAGAATCTACTTCCAAATTGCAACCAACATGCCACATGCAAAAATCTCATTGAAGCAAGTAATTGATTGGTTTACAGAATAGAGGATGAAGTGTTGACTGAAACCTATATAGCCTCTTATTCAGCTATGTAGGAAATTAAAAAATGTCAACGATTACAGCTTTCACCAAGGTTGTAATGGTGAAAATGGGTGCTTATAGAGATGAGCTGCCATGTACTACATTGCTTTAAGACTGTGACACCTCTCATTTATAGACTTCTGTGCCTGCAATCTGATTGGTAAGACCGCTCCCTGCTCATGAAAGATGGAGAGGACAAGATATCAGTAGATTTCCAACCTAAGAAAACAATACAGGAGGGCTATATTTTTTATTAGTTAAATTTTAATTTTTCAAATGAATATTTTTTTGTAAAAATCCCAGTTAAAACTTCCCAAACTTTCAAACCCAAGCCATGGATTTAATTTAGCTCTTAACCTACATTAGGAACCAGGGCTTCTGAGCATGTTCACAGGATATTATAGAAATTAACTTTTTTTTTTTCTTAGACAAAGATACCCATAGATAGTTCTACAAAAGGGACTCTGGAGCTATAGTCTGGAAAGGCTGATTGCTGTCCCCAGCAAAATGACAAAATGAAGACTAACTGAGCACACAGATAAAGATCATTGCAGAAGCCAGCAGAGCTCCTACAATGAGAAATCCTCTCTGACTAATTTTCTTTAATCCATGAAGCTGTCAGCATGTATGTAAATAAAGAGAATATGAATATACGAAAGTTCTCCAAAAGCCTTCCAATAACATTCCATAGCAATGTTACTAAAGAAAGTTGTCATGGGACTAAAGAAAAGGGGGTTTTGTTGACTGAAAGCTGGTTAGATTACAGAAAACAAAGGATAGCATTTAATGTATTTTTACCATGAGAAAACTCAAAAGTTGGGTGTTCTACAGATGAGTGCTCGGACCAGTTTTATTCATCATCTTTAATGATCTATAAAAGGTAGTGAACACTGAACTCTTGACGCTCATAGCTGACAGTAAGGTAATTTCGATAGTGAAATTCAGTATTGATGGTGACCAATTCTTGAAAGACCTCATTAGCCTGAATAGGTGGGCAAGAAGGTGATAAATTAGTTTCAGTGTGGATAAATGTAAGATAAGGCATCTGGAGAGAAAAAGAATCTTAACTAGGCTTACACAATGCTGAATCTGGAAGTA